GCAAGCACCAAATTAGTTTAACATGCTGGACTCAATTAAATTTTGAAGACTTTTTCCAATTAGTGAGCTCGAAATCTTTTTGTGTCCCAGCACCTTAAAATGTGAAGTTTTCTACTTTCCAGTAGCTTTAGCCTTGGAGCAGACCTAAGGGATTTAACACGCTCACTAAAACAATAACATCAGACCAGGACAAAGGTAGGGCCACACACCTGAGCACAATAGACAGGCGCTATGCAATTAGTGTTTGTGTCCCCCCAAAATTCATATGTTGAAGCCTAATCCCCCATGTTAGGATATTAGTAGATGGGCCTTTGGGAGGTGATCAGGTCATGAGCGTAGAGCCCTCGTGAATGGGATTGGTGTCCTTATAAAACGAGAAAGAGACTGGAATGCTCTCTCTGCCACCTGAGGACACAGCAAGAAGGCAGCTGTCTGCAAACCAGAGCCTTCACCAAACACTAGCTCTGCCAGCACCTCAGTCTTAGACCCCCCCCAGCCTCCAGAACTGCAAGACTTAAATGTCTGTTGTTTAACCCATCTTGTCTGGCGTTTTTGTTATAACAGCTCAAATTAAGACACAAGCGATGGGGGAATGGACCACGAGAAGTTTGAAAATGCTCCACAAATAATTCTGATACACATACCAGAGATGCCCTGAGCTCTGAAAGCTGGGGGGACGAGAGGAGGGGGTGCAGCAATCCCGATGCTACCCAAGAGGATCAAAGGGACCCTGACGCCCTGATGGATTCCACCAGCCTGGGCTGGACATACAAGGCATATAGCTGGATTACTATATCCAGGCACTGCTGGGAAGATATCCCACTGTATCATTTATATTTATTCTTGTGTGACATAGAAGCTATCCAGAGTCACCAATGCTGAACTATACTTTCCACAAAGGGTTCAATGTAATAGAGGAATCAGGTGTGGTAAGAATTAATGCTGTGGCCAGCCTCTCCGCCCCTCTGCACCCACCCCCTGGACCCCAGAGAAATGGCAGTATCTGGGAAAGAAAAAAATTAGTATGTTAATATAATAGAATCTCAGACCTGGAAAGCAAATGTGATGGCTGCCTAGCCCAACTTGCTATCCTATGCATTCGTTCCTTCCACAATAACACTAACGAAGTCACATAACCTTATTGGGTACTTTCTCAAAGCAACCCACTTGAGGCTGCACAGCTCTGACTAATCTGCCTCACTGCTAGCAGAAATGTGTTCCTCTCTTGGGTCCTAGTGCCCTCAGGGATCACAGAGCCCTTCCACGTGAAGGCCCTGGACATGGGTCAAGTCCCCATCACCCAGACGTCTCACCAAATCCCAGGTATGTGGCTGCTCCCTGGTGAGCCACCACATAGATTCTCACAAAGGCCAAGAGATGTTTCAACAAGCTCCTTACCAGAAGCAGGGAAGCCCTCAGTCGTCTCTTAACCACTCAGCTATTGAGGAAGTGGTCGAAATTTCTAAATTGTTGTCAAGACAACCAAAGTCCAAATATAAATCTCTCTGGGATTCCATCAGGAAGCAGTGTTTAAGTGCAGGCGGGCACACGTACCCAGAGGAAATAACAAAATAAAGATCTCCTCCTCCTCCTCCTCCCCCCTCCTCCTCCTCCTCCTCCTCCTCCTCCATTTCTCTCTCTCCTCCTGCCTTTGCCACGTGGCGATGTGTGTTAAAAATGCATACTGGGAAAGTTTCCACCTTTGGGGTTGAAACAGCTGCTGCCTCAATATTGTTTTTGTTAGTTGTTTTTTTTTTTTAACTTACTTTGCTGTTTTTAAGGGTGTTGTCTTTAAGCTAAATGTTTCATAATACTAGTTCAGATTACAGAGTGGGACAATTCGCACTTGATTGGCAAGAATGAGACTCATGGGGTCCTAGGAGTCCAAGGCCCCTACCCAAGGTGCCTGCCCCTGTCGCGCACCCCTCCTGCATGGCTAACTTCCACAAATGGCCCAGCTTATGCCAGGAAAGGGCATTCCCAAAGGTTTGCGGGGCTGTCCCCATGTGGAATAAACATGACAAAGTCTACACATGAAGTGGGAGCCAAGAATTTATAACAGGTAACCTAAATAAACCCAGTGCTCTCGAGTCCCTGGTTTTCCAAGAGCACAAAGCATTCAGAGAATGTTCCACAGGTCATCGTCCCTCCCATCTGGGAGCATTCACCAAGAGAAATAAGACCAAACATGGCTACCATGCCAACAGGAGAAGGATCAGGTAAAGGAGACGTGCCACCTGGCCCACTCCCACCTGTTGCAAATGACCCTAACGTCAGGGCGAACCTCTGACCCCACGGAGTGAGCAGGAGACTACGGCAAAGAGTCACCAGCAGGAAGCCTGGGACAGAAGTCTGCACTGCCCATGCCTAGAACAACCTGCACCTCAAATGAGAAGCACGTCCCCAGGTAATCAAGGATGAGCACACGGCCAGGCACAAAAAGACCAGCCTCTCAGCCTTTCCTGTGAGGCAGTAAGACTTCGGTTACAGGGTCCACATTCTCTATCACCTCCTAAGGGGGATCCAACAGTGATCCCGATGGGGGCAACTGAGGGTGCGGCAGCCAGAGTCTTGGTCATACTGAGACTTCAGGGAGGTGTGGCATGGCTAAAAAACAGGAAGCTGAGTGCCAGCCACATGCAAGACTACACCCAGAAAAGACAGACCTCCCTAACCCAAAGAACAAGGGAGCCTGGGGTTCCTGTTAACATTTAGAAAGGACTCTTGGACTTAGCACTGACACCCTCTTCCATCCTCTGACCCACCACTTCTCTGAAGTCAGGAGAGGAAGCCCGAGGCAGGTAAAATGGCTTTGCTCTCCCTTACGTCATCCCACCCAGGGAACCAGTCTATTTGGACAAGCAGCTAGAATACTGCCTGCTGCACACAGCTTGTCCAGCAAAGCACCAGCCAAACCAGGGAACTAAATAAAGTTTACTCGGTGTGGATAACAAGGTCATTTGTGCTTTCAAATAAGATACTCTCTGACTTCAGTCAGGCTAAAACTTATAGCCACACTCAAGAAAAAAGGAGGGCACAGATGTGGTGTGATCCAGTTGATGCTTCAAAGCCTCCATCTGCCCAGAAACCTTCCCTTTCTCCGCTTCAGCACTCCTCCAAGTTCAAATTCCTACCAACAGAGCCACCACAAAGAACCAGCAAACAAAGGTGAGGCACTGTCTGCAGGGAGCCGCTCAAAGAGTGTGTTTCACTCCTGGAGAAAAGAGAAAAAGAAGTTAAGAGAATTTTGCCAGCTTCCTCATCTCCCAGGCTTGTTAATTAACACCCTGGACTCACAGACAAGCAGGAAATGGCACCATATATCTTAAGAGGTCATCTGGCATAGTCCTCTGCCTCGGGAGGGAAGATGTTATTATGCCCATTTCACGGATGAGGCAACTGAGTCTGTCTAGAAATGCACAGCTAGTTACTGGGAAAGGAAGAGGGCCCAGGTTTCCTGCCTCTTGACACAGGGCTGTGGCCACCTGATCAGTGTCCTTACAAGAGGATATAGAGACTCATCCTTAAATATTGAAATTGAAAATAAAGAGTCATGTGATGGGGCAGGGCCTGTGCCACCTAAGAAGGTGACAAGAGAAAAAGAGTCAAAAAGGCAAAAATATTTCCCACTCCGTTTTTTCCCATGTCAAAACTGCCTCTTGATTCCTTGGGACACAACATTCCTTCCAAGTCTTTGAAGGCCTTTGGTGAGGCTGAAATGGCTCCTGAGAAGGAAGCGTGGGACTCCTGGAATTTACGCCTGGACTATATTAGGGAGCCTGGCGCACAGCGAAACCCGCTCCTGCGACGCAAAAGGTCACAGAAAGACCAGAACAGCGTCCCACCCAGAGCCCGCGAGGGCTGGGCAGCAGGGGCGGGCCTGTGCCAGGGGCTCACAGGGAAGGGGGGCCTTGCCAGACGCCCTGGGATTCTGGGCCAACCGGACGATCTGGTTAGCGCAAGTAATGGTGGTGGCAGAGGCCAGGGACGGGAGACAGTGGCGAGAACACCGTCCTGGCCAAGAGGCCGGGACAATTCAGTCCTCGCCTAGAATAATTTCCTGTCTACAGCGCTTGTACATCCATCGTGACAGACCGGTTAGCGCAAGAACGGGTCCCCCGGGCCGCTGCTCTGTTTTTAGCGAATGGTTTTCTTGGGAGCTCAGCTTTGCCAACTGCCAGGGCAGTACAGCAGGCGTCGATGCCAAAGGCTGCTGAAACACGCTTCGCATCAGCTCTTCTTCTAAAAGAAGTAACTGGGATTTGATGTGGCACCTAAACATGATCCGAATTCCCAGGGGCAGCTTCCGAGGGGCTGCGGTGTCGCCCGCCGCCGGCCCGCGGGACTGGCTGGGTTTCCTTTGTCTGTTCCTGGCGGCTCCGCGGCTCCTGCGGGCCGGGACGGACCCGGGTGGGAGCGGCGGCGGGGACTGTGTCACCCTGCCTGGCCGCCGCGGGCGGACGTCTGCCGGCGCCCGTCTCCAGGGCACCGCGCTCTCCGCACCCTCAGCCCGGCCACCCTGGGTTTTCTCACCGCGGTCGGCTTGCTGTTGTCTTGCTTTTGTTCGGTACGTAAAGCAGCTGCAGCGGGAGGCAACAGAGGACGGGCGTCCCGGCTGAACAGCTTAAACTTTCCGCCGGAAGGAAATGACCAGAGGCGGAGGAGAAAGCCCTCGCAGCCGGCGGGGCCGCGGCCACCTTCCCGTCCCCGCCGAGGGGTCGCGGGTGCCCCGAACTGCCCGCAGCCAGGCGAGGCCGGAGCGGGTCCCGCGAACGCGCGGGCGGGACGGAGCGAGACGAGGCGGCCGGGGCAGCTCGAACGCGGACCCCGGCGGGGACTAGGGGCCGCGGGGGCGGAGCGCGGAGGGCGCGGGGACGGGGCGCGTAGGGCGCGGGGACGGGGCGCGTAGGGCGCGGGGGCGAGCCGAGGGCGCGCGGACCGGAGGGCGCGGGACTCGGGGCGCGGGCCTGGGGCCCCGGCGGACGGCGGCCAGCACTCACCCCGAGGAGGCACACTTTGAGCTCCCGTATCGCCATCATGTGCTCGGGGCCGGGCCAGGCCGGGGCTCTGAGGCATCCTCCGCGCCCGCCCGCCCAGCCGGCGTCCTCGCGTCTCGGCCTGGCTCGCGCCGCCCGCGGGCGGAACCGCCGCCGCCGCTATTTCTGGGCCGCCGGCCCCGCCGCGGCGGGTCACGTGGCCGCCTGGCTCCTCCCGGGCGCGGCGGGTCTACCCTCGGCGGCCCCCCGGCTCCCGGGAACGCCCCCGGGCGGCGTCAGCCACCGGCACCGGCGCGCCCGGGCACCCGCCTCCGCCCTCGGACCGGCTCGGCAGCCGGCGGGTCCCCGGAGCCCCCGGGGGCACCTGCCCCTCCCAGCCCGGGCGCCGGAAGGCCGGTGGGTGCAAGGACAGGACCGGCCCTGGGGAGACCCGGCCCCACGACCCGCGCGGCACTGAAGATGCCATTTCGCGTCCGAAAAGCGGATGCCGTCCGAGGTCATTCAAACGGGCATACTGGTCCGGTCCGGAAGTGACATTCCGGGTCCCAGGCAGGAGTCACGTCTCTGCCGGGATCGCCGTGAGGACGGGGGCGAGGAGCGGGGGTCACTGCGGCCCGGGCTGGGCTTCCACGTGCCCCCTGCGGCTGTCCACGCTCAGCCCTGAGTTCGGTTTTGGGGGGGCGGCGGGGCGTTTTGCGGAGGCATTGTTTTACTCCTGCCTCCAAAACCGGTGTCGGGTCAGAGTCTGAGAAGGGAAACTTGCATGCTGGAGAAGCAGCTCTCTCCCTCAGTAGGGACAATCCTACCAGTTGCGTGGGCAGAAGCCCAGCCCGCGGCAGCAGAGCTAGAGATGTGGGTCCTTCCTTAGCTAGGAAATTGGAGGCTGTGACTTCGGACAGTGCATGGAGGCCGCGGTAGCTGTGCTCCCGTCCCCAGGTACGGCCGAGGGGACCTCGTGCACTGAAATGACCTCGCTGCTAGGGCAGTGTCGGCCTTCCGGACATAATCTGTCTGAAAAATTCACTGGCGTTTCAGATGGGAAATGTTTTCTTTTAAACTGATTTTTTAAAACTTTATCCCCTATCCCAAACCCTCGGGCCTCTTTCTTGACTTTCCGGTTTTGATGATGGCATTTCCACGCTCCCAGCAGACCACCCGCCTTGATCATCTGGCTTTGCTCTTGTTGAAGCCAGGTTGAAGCTGCCCAGCACCCAGGAAGCCCCATACCATAGGGAATTCTAAATCAAGGCCTCCAGAGAGAAAAATTCTAGAACACTGGAATGAAAACAGTCCCCCCAACTGGCAATTGCATTCTCCAGAGCAGCAGGAACTTTGCCCTGACCGAGCGCAGGCTTGTGGAGGGTTCCTCGCTTGGACTGAACTGTTCAGAAGCGCTACAGGTCCGTCGTATCAGTATCCGTCCTTGATTCTGTATCCAAAGTACAGAGAGTCTTCTGTGCGGGCAGCATGAAAAGATGCCTCCCAGCAGCCCTGGTCATAATACCCCACTGTCCTCAGATTCGCTGAGCAGAGCGCAGCGGCTACACAGTTGCAGAAACACCTTAGCAAAGGCCTCAGGCGGCCTTCACAGGCACCTAGCAAGACTCCCATCTTCCCAGCAGTGTGTCCTTCTGGCTTTTCTGCGAGTTTCCCGAAAGCCCGTCAAATCAGAGTGGAAGCTTCTTCCACGTTCTACATCCTGTAGAAGTGGGGATGCATAAATTGCCATAGGTCCTTAAGGGCAGAACCATGCCCAGACACCAATGAGCAGACCGAATGTCCCTTCTGTTCCCTTACTCTTCTTCACGGTCCTTCTCATTCTGCTTCCTCGTGCACCAGCCTGGGTGTCTGGAATGCTGTGTGGTTTCTAGGCTCTGTGGCACAGTCCCCTATACAGTTCCCTCCCTGAGAATCACCCCAGTCTGTATGTCCTTGCCCCCCCCCCAGTCCCATTTAAAATCACCTCATTTCTGTCCCTTCTGATCGGGCCTTGCACTCTGCTTTACAAAGTGGCAATTCGAGTCTGCCAACGGGACCATGTCCGTGGGTTTATACCCCCTCCTCAGCAATCACCCTTGGAGATTCAACATGGCTTCAGGAAAACCAGGTCCCTGTGGTCACCCCAGGGTGATGCTCAAAGCTCTAGCCCAGGAAAAGGGAAGGCGACTTCAATGAGACATATTTTAGAAGTAACAGGTCAGAGGTAGCTCTCAACTTTTTAAAGGCACAATGTATTATTCTGCTCTATGATTACTGTACTAACAGTCCGTCCTAACTCTTCTGACATAAGTAGGGATAAAAATTCAGCGGTCCATATCTGACAATTTATCAAATTAAAAAATAGTACATGCAAGTTTTTCTCATGAGAACTTGGTAAAGTCAGAGTCATTGTGCTAATTCAGACTTCTGCTTTTCTGCGGCTTTAGTCTCTAGAGGTAAAAGCCAGGATCCAACATAAACTGATCATGTTTTTTGATTCAGGAAATCCGTTTTTAGACAATAACATACAAAGACAAAAAAGCAAGCAAAGCCTGTCTATCTGTACACTAACACACATACAAAGAAACAAAGAAATATGTTAGAGAAACAAAATAATGATCTCTACAGAGGTAAAGGAAGGATAATTGCATTAATTGCAATATTAAAGGGGTGAAAACAACTCAAATCTCTTAACATTTGGGGAATGATTAAGTGAGCTATGGTGTCTTTACTGGGTATATTTAATGGTGTACAATAGTGCATGTTACTTAGGTATTAAATGAAATGAGCTTACTATAGATTTATAGAGAAGTTTGCAGTAAATACGGTTCTGTAAAAAGTTGTGACGCAAAGTGGGATCCGAGTGTTGAGCAATACACGCAACATCAACTTGTCGCAGCTCCCTGTTGCGCAGGCTGGTCTCTGGAGACCAGTGGTGATCAGCTGGCCTGCTCAGGGGTGAATTAGGAAAAATAAAAATGTTTATGAACCTTATTTTTAATAATTATATCTTTTTTATGGAACTGTGGTAGTGTCAGTTAAAAAGCCTTTTAATATTTCTCATTTACATAACAATTCCTTACTTCCTTCCCTTTCAGAAACTTTCTCAATAGCTTGTGCCATCCTATCTTGTTTGTAACTGAAACGCTTTAAACAAATTTAGAGATGACTCCTGGACATACCAGGGTGAGACAGGGATTTGAGGGAGTTAGAAAAGTGGAGGCGAATGGACCCCAGTTCACCTCCAGGCGTGGAAAAGGAGAGAGCCACTGGGGAGCCCTGGGAGCTGAAGGAGACTCTGTCCTTGGGGAGGGATTGTCCCAGAGAAGCCCCAGGAATGTGGCAGCTCGGTGGAGGGGCTTGTAGGCAGTGGATACAAAACCGTCCGTGAATGCCCATCCCCCACTGCAGCGCCGGTGCCTTCGTCTCCGTGTGGAAAGCACAGTGATGTCTCAGATGGGAGCAGAGGACGGTGGGGACTTGCCTCCTGGTTTACTCCACCGCCTCCTAAACGGGAGTGCTCACAAGTGTTCAAGAAGAGGTGGCCAGACCTCGCCTGAGACAAGGGAGGCCTCTGTTGGGCTCTCACAAAGGATTGGTGTCAGGTGACAATGTTTAAATTTCCCGGGTTCCAGGGTGTTGGTGCTGGGCAGCTTAAGCCAGCCTCATCACCTCCCTGGCCTCCTTGGGGATACTCCCGCCCATCAGCCCCCACCATCCCTGTAATCCGTGGTTGAGCTGAAAGTGTTGCATTAAAAGAAAATAAACTACAAGATATATATTAACACCTTTCATTAACATGAAAGGTAAACAGATTGATTCAGCTGTGACCTCCTACCGAAAGCCGTAACTACCATGTAATCCAGTCGGTGCACTTCATTTTCACTGCTTACCTGTAAAACTGGGAAATTCACAACGACCTAGACCAAAGTCACCGCAACCCCAAGTTCATTTCTCAGGCCATCTTACTTGGCTCTTTCTGGCTGGTCACATTTTACTGCGATTGCTCAGAGCAATATTATGGAGTTTAGGATTTTTTTTCTTAAAGAGATTGTGTTTCACATTTTTTGTACTTTAACATTATTTGTTATCAAACTGAAAATGGATTTAATTTTAGATGGTGGCAACAATTTTCATATCTTTGGGAATTTCTGTGTTTAACTGTTGATACACCCATTCAGCAAATAGCAGATGCTGACCACGTGCTAGACATCGTGCTGGACTCGGCACGGGATGCACCACCAAAAGAGAACGAGGACACTTGCGGGCATCAAGCCTGTAAAGGAAACAGACATACATACAGCCTGTTAAATATCTGAGGCTTGGTATATTTACTTCATTTTTGTTACTCTTCCCGTTAAGAAAATGAGTATAACTTCCAGAGTGAACAAACCTTGGATGCAATCAAAACCAGCCACCAACTAGAGAAGAAGATGATCAAGATGGCTAGAGTTGAAAGTCCCAGTCAACCGTGGGAGGAAAGTGTGGGGGGCTGGAGGGGCAGGAGGAGAGAGATGTTCTATTTGAATTCCCAAGACTGCCCACACTAGGAAGACCCTAAGGCTAACTCTAATTTGAAGTGCCCCTTTGAATATCTGAGTACAGGTTAAATATTCCTCATTCAAAATGCCTGGGCCCAGAAGTGTTTCGGAGTTCAGATTTTTTCCAATTGTGAAATATTTGCATTATACTTGCCAGTGGAGCATCTCTAATCCAAAAATCCAAAATCCAAAATGTTCCAGTGAGCATTTCGCTTGAGCATCAGGTCAGCGCTCAAAAAGTTTTGAACTTTGGGGCATTTCAGAGTCTGGATTTTCGGATTAAGGGTGTTCAACCTGTACCCAGAACATCGAAGTACTACACTAAGTATTTAATGGTTAACTGAGTTGCCTTAAGGTTCCAATTACTTTGGAACTCTTGCAAATTTTGTTTTTATTGTTGTGGTTATTATTGTTAAAAAGAAACAAAATTACAACAAATTTAAAGATCTAATTGGCTTTCATTTGAGATCCTGGTATCGGGCAGCTTCTTATTCTATCAAACAGAATGGGTGTTCAATGAGCTGGGCAGAGGAGTTTGGCTTTATAGGCAGAAAAGGCTGGAGAAAGAAGAAACAGGGAACAAAAAGCAGATGGGTCCTTTCAAAGTGACTCCCATTATAGGGTTAAAGCAGAGGGGACTTCCTTACCAACCTGGCTCAGGTAAACTGGACCCCTTCTGGTCGGTTGCTGTGCATCTCCTGTTTTTTGGAAAACCGCCCGTGTTGAGTTCAGTTGGATGACGTGGCACCTGGC